CATTATTCACTGGGTTTAGGGCTTCAACATGATTTGGGGGGGATACACAGTCTGCCTGTGCTGTCCTTGAACTTGGGTCCAGTGTCTGCAGGAGCAAAGTCCTCCTGTGATATCAGAGACAGGATGCCTGGATCAGTCTCTGCAGGGCAGATTAAGTATGACTCAGGAGGGAGCCTTGCCCGGTGCCATCACCCAGCAATTAATTTTCTCTTTGCCCTAAATCTTGTTCCCTTAGCCCTAATAGGACTGATTATTCATCAATATTAAAGTGGCAAATTCATTATATTCTAATGATCTGACATCAAATATTAAATCTCATTATGTGATTGGCTGGGATTTATGGCAGCGCTAGTTGTCTCAGGTGGTGGCTAGTCTCCTGAAGAAGGACACTTCCTGGCTCTGCCGTTTGCACGATTCCTTCCAGGTCAATAAGCTGCAGCAAGCTGTCAGGGAAGCCTCCAGATTTGGGGTGTTGGAGATATACCCCCGTGCATTTGGGGTAGTCATGTGCCATTATCAGTGATACTGTCCCATGTTGGATGTCATCAGGGTTCAGTCAGATCCTCACAACTCCTCATTGGCTCATGGCACTCAGACCAGGGCTGCTCTAACACAGAAGGACTTCTAGAGGCTTCCAGAATACGTTGTTTTATTTCTGAACTGTATGCCTTCTTTCTAGAAAAACCTCACTACTCCTGTCTATCACACAATGCCCAAATAGAGAGGTCAGCTCTGTCTTGCCCACAGCTCATGGGTCACAGGACCACTACGTCATGTCCATATCGTGTTCTGGGGCCCCAGCACTAAAGGAAGTGATTCCGCGACACCTGTTAAAGCACAGGACCAGAAGGTGTGTGACCACTGAAATGAGATCTTGTAGAGGGGGAAGAGATGGGCTGGACTACAAATATAACACAAGAAAGCAGGGATCCCAGCCAAGGGGCATGTGTGGTCAGGAGATGGGAATCAGCAAGACAAGGTATCAGGAATGGGGATTCTGACTGGAATGACCACATAGTTCTCACTGAAGACAGGCCAGGTCCATCAGTCATGCCCTGGGGATGGAGGTGAATGAAGGACTGACTTAGATGCCAAGGACCACATGCACTCATTCACCCTTTATTCACTCATTTGCTTACCTCTTGCTCTTTAACCACCCACTCATGCTCATTCACTCCTTCATTTTCTCATTCATTCATCCTTTCACTCACCTACTCATTCACTGATATCTAAGTAGAAGCAGCAAAGCCCTTGTTGCCATTCTGCTTTGAGTGAAATAGCTTCTGAACTGCGACCTGGAGCAGATCCATCACTGTAGACTAGAGTCATACGTGCCTAGGTGTTCAGGCTCCCAAACACTGACTGTCATCTCTATTCTCTCCACAGTGTCACCAGGTCCACACATGGCAACCTAAACAGCTGCCTCTGAATGAATCTATCTAGAACATGTAAAACTACCCTCCAACGTGTCCCCATTCTAGACGAGCTGCAGCTCCAAGTACAGAGGGCTGAAAGTCGCTGGGCTTTGTTGTGGGGAGTCACAGCTGATTGGAATACACCCACTTCTGACGGCCCAGCACCACCTTGGAAATCAGAAATAGTCTATCCTGTACCCACCAGCAGAAAGCAGCACCAGGCTGGGCCTCTTCCTCAGCATGGCTTCCAAAGCCATGGGGCTATTGTCAGTTGGTTGCAGAGCAGAGGCAGACTTTTGGAGAGGCTGCTGCTGTGGAGTAGGGGAGCTACGCACCCTGCTGATGCCAGGCTGGGTGTTCTGTAATTAGCCCTGCCTCTAATCCACTTTATAGGATGAGATGTGAAAGGCAGAGTTTAATTCATGAAAGAACATCCCAAAAAAGGTGGACTCAGAGTTGAATCAGGATCTCCTCAGGATTACAGCCACCTCCAGATCATAGTGGGCCCCCTGAAGCTGTTAGTTTATTCTGCAGGGACCCAGGTATGGCGTGTTGTAGTCTTGGTGCCCCCAGTGAGGCATGTAGGTGGGCACATTGACACCATGCAGTACTGCACACTAGCCCTTTGGAGCACTGGGTCCCTGTCATTCAGACCAAGCCCACAACCACTCAGGGTTCTGAGAAGTGAGGTGCTGTGCCTTACCCTTCATCAGCAGCCGTGCACTCCACCTGAGGACTGGGTAGGAGGAAAAGGCCAGCACTCAAGCCATAGCCCCAGGCTTTGCCTGAGGTGAGATAGGCCCTATGTTCATCACTGACATCTCCATTCCAACCAAGAGGGAGGCTGGCCTACCTCTCTGGGCCTGGGATCTGCTTGAGACTCTCATGATATTGGGCCTCCCCAACTGTGCTGGTTATGAGAGTGGCTCTGTTTGGGAAGGTTTAGGAGGTGTGGCCTTGTTGGAGGAAGTGCCTCACTGCGGGAGGAGTCTGAGGTCTTAAAACCTCACACCATAACCAGATTGCTCCTTGCTTGGTGCCTGTGGGTCAAGATAGCAGCCCTCAGCTTCCTGCTTCTGCAGCTGTGCCTCCACTCCCCGCATGGAGAGCACCTGTCCCTTTTCCTCACCAGATGTGCCCGTGATCAGCATCTGTACTGTGCTAGGCACACTTACTATCATTACCAGACTAGCGTTCTTCAGTCTCCCAAGGCTATGCTGGATCAGATGGGAGACTTACGTGCAATAAACAAGAAGTTTACTTATGACCACACACCAGCACTGTCAGCCACTGAGTAGATACACAGGTTCAAGGGTTAGTGAAAAAAGCATTACCATTTTTCTGTCAGCTTCACAGATATAATGGTTTCGTTATAGTTACTGTGTTTCCAACTTCAGAATTTCTATTTAGTTCCTTAGTAAAAGGTCAGACTCTCCTTATTGACATTATGGTTATGTTTGAGAAGACATAGCTCTCTAGTTTTCTTAATTTTTTAATAATAACTTTTTTATTTAATTTTTTACGCGTTACTCCCAGCTCCCTCTCCCTCTCCCTCTCCTCCTTCCCCTGATCCCCCAATCCTCCCAACCCCCCACTCCATCCAGCCTCTGCTCCCCCGGGAGGGTAAGGCCTTCCATGATGGATTTTCAGAGTCTGTCTTAACATCCCGGGCAGGGCCTAGGTCCTCCCCATGTGTCCAGGCCGAGAGAGCATCCCTTCATGTGGAATGGGGCCTTTGGAGTCTTGAACATCTTTACAATAACTGATTTAAAGTCCTCATCTGCTAAGTCAGTGATCTGTTCCTCAGGAACAGGTTCTATTGACTAAATTCCACCACAGGAGTGGGCAGCAGCTCCCAAGGTTATTTATTTCTTGTCCTGGCTAGCCCTGACACAGCCCAGAGTCAACAGAGAAGAGAAGCCCCAAACCGATTTTTAAGCAAGCTCAGGCTGGTTTATAGGCATGTCTCTGAGGGATTACCTTGATTGTTTACTGATGTGGGAAGATATAGATTATTGTGGGTGGCACCCTTCCTTAGAAAGGTGGTCCTGGGCTGTACACAAGACTCTAGCTGAGCACTAGCCAGAAAGTGAGCCAGACAGCAGGCTAACAAGCAGCGTTCTTCCATGGTTTCTACTCTGGGCTCCAGCCTTGAGTTCTTGTCCTGATTTCCCTCAGTGATGGGCTGTGACCTCAAGTGTAAGATGGAACAAACAGTTCCTTCCCCAGTGTGCTCTTGATCAGAGTACTTTATCACAGCAAGGGAAAACAAACCAGGTTATTTATTTGTTTGTTTGTTTGTGAACATCTCATGATTTTATTTTTGTGGACAGTCTGAACATTTAAAATAATACAAGGGAGCAAATCTGTCAGGAAGATGCCCCCCATGTGGGTTATTATAGCTAACTTTCTTGTCACTGTGACAAAAATACTTGATGTGAACAACTTATTTAAGTCAACAAAGGATATATCTTGGCTCAGTTTCAGAGCTTTTAATGTATTGTGGGAGGCGCCATTGTTCCCGGGACCATTGTAGAGCAGCATGGTGGTGGAAGCATGTGGCGTAGGCTGCTTTTCTACCGTAACTATGGCAGAGAAGCAGCAGAGAGACTGGATGGACCAAGGACAACCTGCAGAGACAGCATTAGTTGTTGGGGAAGTCTTATGCCAATAAAGCACTGTCTGGCCAATAGGGAATCTAGATAGGAGGGACTAGGAGTCCAGGAGGACTCTGGGAAGGAGAAACAAGAGAGAGTTCGACATGTAACACCATGGGGTAGGAAGCCTGGAACTATTCTCCGGTAAGAGAAATACTTAGATTAACAATTATGGGGTAATTATTTAAGTCAGAGCAAGCCAGTAAGAAACAAGCAAAGGCCAACAGCTTCATAATTAATACAGCGTCTTGTGTGTTTATTTGGGGACTACAAAGCGACAGAGCCCAGGCAACTGGCGGGAGATAAACCAAAGCAGCTAGCAAAGAAAAAGCTTCTCGTAACAATTAGTAAACTTCCTCCATTTCCTAAAGCTTCTAGGGCCAATCAATATAGCATCATCAGTCAGTGATCAAATGGTCAACACATACATTTGAATATTATAAGCCACAACATTACATTTTAGGATCCACAAGGCCCATGGGTATCCTAAGAGTTCATCTCCAAGAGCCCCAAAGTCTTAACAATTCCAAGATTGTTCAAAACTCTACATTTGGAATATTTTCTGAAACTCAAGGCAATCTCTTGGCTGTGAACACTTGTTTAAATAAGTAAATAAATGCAGAAAGAAAGACAGGAAGAAAGAAAGGAAGGGAGAGAGAGAGAGAGAGAGAGAGAGAGAGAGAGAGAGAGAGAGAGAGAGAGAGAGAGAGAGAGAGAGAAAGTTACATATTCCCAAGATGGAATGGACAGGGTAAACACTCTCATTCTGTGGGAGGAATAGGGGCATACCAAGAAAAGACTGGATCAAAGCAGAGAACAGAACCAAGCAGAGAAAATGTTAAACCAGCTAGTCCCTGTGTGGCCTCTCACCATCTGATATCAGCATCAGCTCTATCAGATCCTGATCCTGTGGCTTTTCCTTTTGCAGCCCACATGGCTTCTGTCTTGGGCCGGTGCCACGTGCTGCCTGCAGCTCTTCACAGCTGATGTTCCACAACTTGGAGTCTCCATTGCAGCCTCAGCTGCACACATCACCTCAGCGATGTCTCTATGGGGTTCCAACCCCACAACAAGTGGCCTGGACTCCAATGGCTTCCTTTGAAATCTGAGAGGAAGCCTCCATGATCCCACATCTCTTGCATTCTGCATGTCTACAAAACCAGTATCATACAAATATTACCAATTAATACCAAGGAATACCGAAATGGATTTGTTGCTGGCTTGAGGGCCAGCTTGGGTTTAGCCTTTCAGATGAAAATACTCATCTAGCTGTTCCTGCACCTACAGGGTGCCATGGGGGCTTCTCAGATGTACCTTTTAGGTGAATTAAAACCTTTATATCTCTGATCCTGTAATGGAAGAGGTTCTGCCAATTCCTCAGATGCCCCAAAGGCATCTTTCCCATTGCCACCTCATTACTTTCACCTATATAACACCCATGCCCCTTTTGCCTGAAACTTTGAACATATCACATTTGTGGTCAAGCAGCACATTTTCCAAGCCTTTCCATTTGGCTTTTAATGCTCTCACTTCTAAGTATAAACTTGGCCAAAAGCAGCCAAGCAACATTCATGCCACACACTAGATGTTGTGCCATCTTGAAAGTCCCCCCACCAAATCAATTAGTTTATTGCATTCTAATTCAGCCTCATTCAAAGTCGTAGGACATGGACAAAACATATATAAATTGTTTGCTAGGATGTACCATGGACAACCTTGCAATGATTAATTTTGATTGTCAACATGATTGGATTACCAGATGCTTATGGCATTAGTCGCTTACTCTTTTGGATGTATTTCAGAGAGAATTAATTGGGTGTTGGGGGAGGGAGAGACCTACTTTAAATATGTGTAACATCATCCAATGGGGTAGAGCTTCAGAAAGGGAAAAAAACAATGAAGGAAGAGGAAAGAGTAAGGTGGATAGCCACATTCCTTTCTTGGTTTTCTCATCGCCTTAGTTCGGAGCCATCAGCTGCTGGACTTGAGACCAAGCTGCTCCTGTGGCCACCGCTTCCCGAGCAGGATGGACAGTATCTTTAATCAGCGACTCCAAACAAATCTTTCCCTCCTCCATTAGCTTTATCCAGATGTTTTATAGCAGCCATGAACCTGTAACCCATTTGCCAACACAGTCCTCTTTGGCATGGGAGTGGAGGGCAGTAATAAACTGCTCTTCAGTCTGTAAACCTATGGTCTTATTAGCTCCTACCAGAACCAATCACTGACCTCCAATTATAGCATCTCAGTGAGTCTCTGGCCCACTTCTTAAAACTCTTCCAGATTCTCCCCACAAGTAGTTCCAAAGGTGTAGGAACCCCATTGTTAAGTATTCACAGTGAAGACCCCACTTATTAGGCACCAGTTTTCTAGACCACCTTCTTTTTCTGTACCGGAGATGGAACTTTGGGTCTTGCACAGGCAAGGTAAGCAAGCTACAGTAGTGATGCACACTCAGCCCTGTGTTTACCTTTTACTTTTGAGACAGGGTCTTGATAAGTTGCCTAGGCTGGTCTTGAACTCACTCTGTAGCCTGTGCTCCTCCTCTCCCTGAAAGAACACAGACAGGGAGGAATTTATTTTGCTCCTGTTTTCAGAGGATTAAGTCCATCAAGGCAGGAAAGGCAGAACACAGCAGGCCAGTTCCTCTCATGGCTTCCAAGTAACAGAAAAGGAATACAAGAAGGGCCAGGACAAGGTACAGCCATCAGTTCTCCCACTCCAGTGACCTAGTTTTTTTTCTCACTAGAACTTTCCTATTTTATAGCACCCCTCCAATGCCATCCTATTCCGCGGGGCATCAGAGCATTGACCAGGGAAGTGTCCCCACTATCTGATCTTTTTTGAAGAAGACCTCCCAGGTACCCTGAAGTGTCTCAGCAATTCCTACATGCTCCTCAATCTAACTGAGTTGATAATTAAGATGAACTGCCATAGTGGTTGCTACCATTTGCTGAGGGCTTTCCTGGGTTACTGCTGCTTATTCTATCCCTCTTTGTCACCAACAGTCTTTGCTTCCCTTTGTTAGTTTAGCAGTCAGCTAATGGTTAGGCTGAGATTGCTACACAGCCTTGAACCAACGAGTCTCCTGCCTCTGCTCTGCCTGCTGGGCTCACTCTAAATACATCAGCAGGTGCTTTATAACTGCCTCAGCCTTTGTTTCTCTTCGCAATGTACCTCAAGGTCAGCCAGAGGTGAGCAATTAGGGCCTTTTCAGTATGTCCTGGGGACTCTCATTGCCCCTCACACATACAGTGCTTTGCAGGATCCTAGGAACATGCTGGAGCTTTCTCCTGTGTCCCTGTAAATGTCTCTTCCCCCAGATCATTGTAAAAGGCTTGGAAGTCTCTCTTTAGCCCCAGCTGGAGAACTTGCCTCCAACAGTTTCACCATTTAATCATTGCTGCTGGTGGGTTTCACAAATACCCTGGGTGTTGTATTGTCTGCACAGAGTGAGCCCCAAGTTAAGTCACATGAGAAGCAGCCTCAGAATGCAATTTTCAGAGGAACCATCACATCCTCTAGGACCATGGCTGGTGAACCTTCTGTCCTATTTGCCCGTGATACTTCTAGGTTTCTGCTTTGCACAGATCCCATGGTTTCAAGGAGTTTGGTCTTCAGGCTATGATATAGAAGTAGATTAATATCAAGAGGAAAGTGGGGTTCGGTTGAAACCCCCATGAAATTAATTGTCTTTATTTTTGTTTTGTATATATGAATGTTTGAGAATGTGTGTGTGTGTGTGTGTGTATGTACCACATGCATGCAGTACTCACAGAGGCCAGAAGAGGGAGTTAGATCCCCTGGAACTGGAGTTAGTGGTGGTTGTGAGCCACTGTGTTGGTACTAGGAGTTGAACCCCAGTCTTTTGCAAGAGACGCAAGTGGGCTGAGCCATCTTTCCATCCCAAGTTCACTATTCCTATCTATTACATATAAGTATGTTCATATGTGTGCAGGTATATATTGGTGTGTGAGCACACACATGTGGGAACTAAAGTCTACCATTAGTTGTATATTTCAGGTTTTTTTTTGAGACAGAGTCTCTCACTGACCTAGAATTTATTAATTAAGCCAGACTGGCTGACCAGCATGCCTTAGGGGGTCTGCCTGTCTCAAACTCCCAACACTGGGCTTACAAACATGGACTACCACATTTTGATTTCTTTGTGTGGGCTCTGGGGATTGAACTCAGATCCTTGGGAAGTAATGGAAGACACAGGAAGGTGGAGTGGTAATATCCAGTATTCTAGGAGGAAAAGAAATTTTTCTCCAATTACCTGACATCTACAAAATGACTTTTAAAAAGTGAAGGTGAAGCAACCACATTCCTGGGTGCTCATTGCTGTGAGAAAATACCACAGGGAAAAAAGACTTAAGAAAGGATCTATTTCAGCTGATGGTTTGAGGAGATGCAGTCCCTCATGGTGGGGAGCATCTGGCATGGGGAGCTTGAGGTCACATGAGCCCTGGTGAAGGAGAGGGAGTGAATGCTGCTACTCAGCTTACTTTCTCATCTCGTCTACTCCAGGACCCCAGCTCCAGGATGGCCTATAGGTAAAGTGGATCTGCCCGCCTCAGTCAACTCAGACTAGACAATTACTCATGGTCTTGTCTGGAAGTTTGTTTCCTGGGTAATTTTAGATCCTATGACTCTGAGAGTCAATATTAACCAGGTACTAGTTAATTTTTTTTGTCAAGTTGATAGAGTCATCTGGGAAAGGGGAACCTCAAATGAGAAAATGCCTCCATAGATTGGCCTCCAGGAAAGTCTGTGGGGGCATCTTATTGATTGCTGATTGCTTGGGGAGGGCCCAGTCCCCTGGGGGCAGTGCCACCCCTCAAAATGTTGTCTAGGGTTGTATAAACAAGCAAGCTGAGTAAGCCTGGGAAGCAAGCCCAGTAAGAGGCACTCCTCTATGGTCTCTGCTTCAGTCCTGATTCCAGACCCCTGCCTTAACTTCCCCTGACGACCGGCTAAAACCTGCAAACTGAAGTAGACGAAGTAGACCTTTTCCTCCCTGTGGTCGTGGCGTTTATCAAACCAGGACAAACCATTATCCTAGGTAACTATGACCTTAAGGGATGTGCTACTCCCTGTTCCTCTAAACAAGAAACACCACAGGAAGCCCCTACTCAGGAGGTGGGTGATTCCATGGTTATTCAACTCCAGTGGAAACCAGGGGCATCAAGGAATCCTTTTCTGAGCTGATTTAAAACCAGCAGACAGGTGACCAGCATGCATCGCGTGGCTCGGCTCGGCTCAGGGAAGCAAAGTGTATGCGATTCTGATAGCACAGAAGCCAAAGTGTGCTGGACTGTGGAGTGATGGCAGGTAGTAGCTCAGATTAGAAAATGAAATATTAAATCAGAAGGTTGCTATAGCTAGCTGTAGACATAAATGAGTCTTCTCCTCTCAGCTTCTTTAAAATGATATAAAGTCACTTATGAAAAAAATCTAACATTGATTCATTGGGTGGGTAACACCCAGATATAATACCAGAGAAGAGAGTTAAGGAAGATTAAAATATCTATGCCAATGGAATTTAGTTAATACCAATCTAGACTAAACCTTGCTGAGTGAAATTAATTAGAAGTCCAAAGTAACCATTAGAAAAGTAATGTTTAGAAAACCAAGACTTCACAGCTGTATCTATATTGTCCTTCTTCCTGGTCACCTTCCTAAAAGAACTGTTACAGTAGAAAATATTCACTTAGTGTGCAAGTTAATGAAGAGAAGGAGGAAGAATGAAGAAACCAAGTACACAGAAAACAAAAGTAAAATGGGAGGTATTAATCCATGGGTGTCAATATTTTCCTCAAATGTCAGTAGATTAAACAATATAACAAAAAGGTGGATGCAGCCAGTCTGAGTTGATATACAATATTTAATTTTATGCTGTATTCAGAGGATGTGCTTGGAGTGCTGAAGAGATGTGTCACTCAGAGAAGGGGACGGGGCTATACTCATACTGGACAGAATGGACTTTGGACAAAAACAGTCACTGGAGAAAGATGTGGTGATGATAAACAGCCAAACCCTTATGAAGAAACAATTAGGGACATGCAGATAACTTGTAAGGTATTCCTAAAACATGTGGAGCAATGCTAGACTGGGTTGAATGGGAGGGTAACCAACCAATAACCACTGGACACTTTAGTAGCTGCCGTGGTTAAATTTCATTATCAATTTGACTGGATTTAGCGTCACCATGGAAACATATCTCTATGTGTATATATGAGGGCATTTCCAGAAAGGTTTAAGTGGGAGGACTCACCTTGAATGTAGGGAGCACAATGTGATGGAATGGACTCCTGGGTTAAGTTTAAAGGAGAAAGTGAGCTGAGCATCAGTCTTCATGACTCTCTGCTTCCAGACTGGGAAAGCCATTTGACTAGCTGCCTTGGGCTCCTGCTGACACTGATGGAACTGATCTCACCACCATTCATTACCCATCATGATGGGCTATGCCTTTAAGCTCAGGGTCACAAAAAGTTCATCCCTCTTTACATTCCTTTTGCTCAAGTATGCAGCAAGAAAAGTAATGGCTATAGTTCCCTTTGTGCTGCTATGATAGAGTACGCTGGCAAAAAAGTTACTTAGGGGGTAAGATTATTTTAAATTGCTGACTAGTCCAGGCTACAGTTCCTCACTCTGGGTAAGGGATGATCATGTGGG